CAACATTTTGGACCGGGAATAAGAAGAAAAAAATAATACGAAAAGCAAATTCTATTTGTAAAATGTAGCATTGTTTTAGTTTATCCAAGTCAAAAATTCAAATGTGCAGATTAAAACACGAAATGTCATTGTTCATATATACATTCAACCTTTTAACGATTGATGGTGCAATGTGAGAAAACAAATACTCAATGAATGAGGCACGAATTGTAAAAATCACTCCAAAAGATCAAACTGGTAATTCAATGACAGTGATACATTTTAAACACAGATATACATTAACACAGCTACATTTGTGGACTATAAATGTGCACAAATTTAACCAAAATATTATCATTTTTCCATTTGCATTTGGAGTAAATAAATTATTTTGTAATAAAATAAACTTTTGTTTTATACGTAGGCTTTCACCACCAATATTATGATTTATAATTGAGTTTTTTGTGTAAGGTCATGGAATAAATAAATAATTAAACTTTGTATATTTTATTTATGTGATGCTTTTATTAATTGGCTGTTGGGTGAATGAGGGTTTACTACACGTATTCTTTACGTAAGATAACCCCATAAACTTTATAAAAAATCATAATATATTTAAATTATGAGACTATAAATGTATGCACATGAAGACATATATAAACAAATGGACTGTGCAGTGCACATGCATTTTCGTTCTGTGTACACGTTGTGGGAGAGAGGCGGTGTAGTGGCCAGCGAAGAGTGCGCGATGTGCACAGCAGCCTGAGTTCAATACTGGGGCTTGGCTAACATCGGTGGCGAACCTACACTCTTCATCAACCCACACTGACCGGCCTAGTGAAGTAAGGTCAAACAACCTCCATGCCACTTTGTTGTTCTTCCCCCGCGCCTCTGGCTACGTACGGTGCGAAGGAAGTTCAAAATAAATACGTACAGATCCAGAACTGACTTTACCGAAAGAACTAAGAGTATGAATCCTTGCAGCCACGAAAGCTTCAAATCTAGAATAAATATGTGTGTCTATAAAAATATGTTTTATGCATACTGTATGTTTCCACCAATGCAGTATGTAAAATACAGACCTTACAGAGTAGAAATGTTTCCCTATATTTACGTGCCATATTTCATTTTATGTATAGTCCTTCACTTGGAACAGCATTAGATTACTATACTCCTTCGCTCTTAGAAAAGAAAGAAAAAATAAACTTGCTGTTTTGCTTTTATTATTCATGCCGCAGCACTGCAGTTTCTTCCACAGAGTTCCAAACAATGTTTACACAGCCTCTGAAGAGAAGGAGTAGAAATAAAGAAAAGCCCTTACAAAGCGAGGGTCATCTGTGCAGCTCGCAGATGACCAAAGAATCGGCCATGCATGCTTTCTTTACGCTGTTGGTATAGAATTTATGAAACGTTGAAGTAGTACGTTTCCAAAAGCTTGCTTGTTTGGGCAGTAAATGTCAACATGAGATAGCTTAGGCGTGTGTACACAATTATTCTGTTATGTGCTCGCATCACAGGCAGGCATTTAAAGCATCCTTGTCGTAGTAAATAATAGCGGTTTAATGGGGTAGAATTCCCATGACTCGCATCGCAATGCAGTATTTTTTTAAAGAGAGCCCTATATTGGCATTGGATCTAAGTTACAATTGTATTCATTATTGCAATTTATCGATTTGGTATTGTTAGGTAGCTTCGCTGTCATTTGATTGACAAATCGTGTACTAATGCTACGTCATTAGTGGGGGTTTCTTGACCATATTTCACCACGTTGGTCAGTGCAGATTGGTGCAGTTGGGGTGAGGAGTAAGATTGGTCTAAATTTCACTCTTGCATGACCAATGTTAGTCATGCCTAGGCATCAAACTTAGTTTGCCAGCTTCATAGGACAGTGTGTTAGCCACTGTACCCAGGAATCGAACGCAAGTTGCCAAGATCATAGTACAATGCGCTAACTACTGTTCCACTGCTCCAACTTGACACTTGATTTATTGGGCTATAAGAATAAGCAAGTACTTTGCATAATTTGAATAGAGGCTTAACAATGTCCCGATTGACCCTTTAGTATCAGTTGCTAAGCCATGGGTGCGTAGATCAAATTGCACATATCAATGTTATCCTGATTGATTTTTTTAAGTTTTGCTGGCTGGCTGGCTGGCTTGCGGGAGGGAGGCACAGATGGATGGTCACGTCCAAAGGACATGGTCGTTGCTAGTTATCCTAATGTTGATCCATGGTGTGTGTAACATACTCTACATTCGTAAGTTAATATTGGTGGTGTCAGCAGGCCTTCATGCAACAGTGGCTACCCAATAGATGATGATGATGATGAAGTTCATATTTTTGGCTAAAATGATCATACCTGGATTACGTATAACACTTTAAACAAATATATTTTTCACCAATCTCTACAGCAATTCATATTGTGAAGATATCATGTATTTCCCATTTGAGATGACAACTGTGATAATGTTTTGGTATATTTGTAGACAATTATAGGGAGTTTTGTTTCTCAAATATCCAGGTAGTTTGTGGAGGTGGGCAGCCTGCTTAGCCCTGCATTTGGGTGGCAGTGCATGCTCAACTCTCAGTCCAAAGTTCAATGATTCAGTGACCCCTCTGAAGAGGTGCAATGTACTACAAACCCACACACACATGCACACGTATAGAAAGTTTGCATTATGGGTGAGAGGTTATAAGCCATCTGGTGAGAGTTTGTAACTTTGCCTAGAAGAGTTGTGAAGAATACAGATGTTTATTTAAATGATTTGGGGTTTTTTTTCTGCAGTGTATGGAAGAAAAGTGGGGAAGAGGAGGAAAATGGATGAGTTTTTCGGACTTTGTGAGATGTTCAAGATCGTGAAAGCTGTCAAGCATCTGTCGTGGCCATCGACCCTCAGACATGAGGATCACATTGGATTAATTGTTCGGTATAGCCAGTCATGGGTGAGCGATATCAATGCTTATGATATTCTAGAAGGGCTATAAAGCTGTCATTTGGCACTGACATAATCAGTGTATGCTTATAACTATAAACATCATTAAACCTACACTTCGAATTTTTGGGCTCCGCTACATTTTTAAGTGAATCTTTTAAACGTTTTTGCTTTAAAACCAAAGCCTATGAAAGTTTGCATCTTAAAATTTTGAAGAGTGCTGAATCGCAATATATTCATGTTTTTGATCATGCTATTTGTCATGTGCTTTTTGAAAGAATGTGATGCTAAGGTTAATATAAAGTGAGAAAAGCCTGTTTTTATTTAGTGATTACTCTGGCAAATCTTGTGTAATTTATCAAAGTAAATGAGCCTATTCTACCAAGAGCTGTTCTAATTGAGACAGACATATATACCGACGAAAGAACAGACAGACGAAATGTGATTTTTTTTTCATGTTTAGCCAACTTCACATTAAGCAAACAATAGTGACCACGTTCGATTCCCACCTGATTTGGTATTTGCACTAACACGTGCACTTGTTCATCGTCGTATTTAATTGAACATGATAGCTTACACATATAACCTTGTAAAACATTCCTGCCTCTCTGAAGTCTGAATGCATCATCTGTCGGCATTCGCCCATCACGCATAAAACTGGACGCTCCATTGTGGCCAAAATAATATAAAATAAGTGCACGGGTGTGACCAGCATTCATATCTATAACAACAAAGCATCAAATGTCCACTGAGCCACTGAGTAATGAATAACTATGACATTAGTTCTAGCCATGACCTAGAGGTAATGGGTGTGTTAATCTCTGACAGTGCTGATAGTCCTAAAATATATGACTGCTTTAAAACTAATAAAGACCCAAAGAAAAATCTTAATTTCAGAAAACCCCTGATGGACTTCACATTATCTCAAACAAGGAAAGAAGAAATCTTTACAGCTGCTGTATAATATAACTGAACTCCGCCACTGACTGGTGAACGAAATAATTTAATATTTTATTTTATTATTTTAATCTGCGTGATCTACAATTTTTTTTTACGTAGGTTTATCGTGAACACGGTCATAAAAGTGACAGGAGGAAATGTAAACAGTTGAGACAAATGGCAATAAAGGCACAGTTACCACTGTGCTTAGACCTTCGCCAAATCGCTGTTGGCAATAACTAGCCCGTTTATGGCTGTTGGACACTGTGTAAAGTTCACGCAAGTGGAATTCTTTGAACAACTCTCTTGCGCCTCCTTGTGTCAAGGAGAGACGACTACCCCAAAGGATCATTTGAGATTAGTGCACTCACTGCATATCTACCACTGCACTTCATATCGAAGAAAGCATGTCTCTTGCAAACCATTCACAAAGTCGCCATTGAAAATAAACAGTGCTATAACAAAAATCAATATTGCAATGTGACAAAATAATTAAGTTATTAATCAGTGAATATTGCCTATTTTGAAATATATCTCAGACATATGGACACTCACAAAGAAAAAACACATTGAAATGCATCCAAAGAAGCGTGGAGAGATGCAATGCATGGTATTATACTGAGAAATATAAAGTGGAATACATGAATGGGAAAACATTGACACGTTGGAAACATTATATTGACTGTTAGTAAAAGTGTGCTTGGGGCAGGACACATCGCTGAACGGGATGATGGTTGGTGGTCAAGGGATGTGCTGGAGGACATTTGCCGAAGGGATGGAGTGATGACATCAGCTCATGTGCAGGTGCTGGAGGGATCGTTACATCACGGGACTGTGAAAGATGATGAGATGGCTGTGGGGAGACCATCATCCAGTAGTCGTTTGAAAATGATGCCCTTGCACTTGACTGGAATATGTATTCTTTAAAATTGTAAATTTAACAGAAACTTTCGTGAATAAGTCAAGAGAATACAAAAACTGTGAGCTCCTTTGAAGCTACTGCTTGCAGATGATTCAAAAGATTGCCAAATTATTGAAAAAAACATTATTGCAGACATGTTATATCCCTTTCATGTGTTTTCTTGGATTTGACATTATAAGCCACAAGGTTAAAGACATTCATAAATTACAACGCATGTGCCATTATCATTCATGTTTTAACATAGTTTATTCACGTGAATATAACATTTTGATTATGTTTGCAGGTACTGTACTTTGTTTAATACACGTGCATTCAGAAAATTACATTTCATGGAAGATAGGGTAAACAACTTGGAACTTTGGAATAGAATGTGGAAAGAAACTGTTGCAGATGTAATTATGGAGAGGGACACGTTTACAGGATGGAGGGGAGCACACGCACAGGAATGTGGCCCCCAGAGGTCGGAGACCAAAGGGAAAACCTGAAGACCAATAGTGGGATCATTTAAGAGTGGACTTTGGAAGTTGGATGTTGCAACTACTACCCAGTCTAGTGGAAGGAAGTGACAATGAGGTGTGTAGTGCCATGACATCTTTACGTTGACTATTCTTTTTTACATATTTACGGTATGGAAATGTGAAGTCAGATCAAACAGAGCTACCGTGGTAAAAGTCAATTGTGTATGCAGCATAATTTGTGTGAATTGAAGACCTTCTTGTGCATTTTTTTTAATCTTCCAGAATTAACCTTATTCGGGGTTAACAGGCAGAGGGTGGATTTGTAACTCAGCGTTTTGTATGAGTTGGTCCACAGTAATGTAAGGGCGAGGCACGCTTGGGAGGACGGGACGCAAGGTGGAGTGAAATGTGAGCGTGTTTGTGTGTTCAGACTCTGGTTGATGGTGCAGAGTGCCCGACTTTATGTGATTTCCTTCTCGCACCACCACTCCCGGCGATGGTTGAATTTGATTAAGCACAGATGGCGTGAAAGGCAGGACTTCCTCCATTTCGAGGCGCTCAAAGCTGGATGTCACGACAGCTTCTGCTGGCTTTAGTTTATGAACATCCAGCTGTTTACTGCGCGGCAGACTCGGAGGCAATGATGGAAGAATGGGCTTGACTCTTAATGCTTTTGTGCCTTGGGCACCCTGCCATAACCTGGAGCTGTGTAGTCGTGCCATAGGATGCAAACTCAGTTGGCCTCTCTTGCTCTCAATAAAAAAAGTATCAACTGCCATGTGACTAGCTGCAGTGGCTGCATCAGCCCTAAGATGTGGTTTCTGAGAGTCTTTGTCTTTGCGGAGGGGTTGATTGGCCAGCCGATGTGGAGTGTCTTGTTGGGTTTCTGCCACGTGGATTTTCGGGCAGACACGGCGACTGGGAATGTGAGCAGGGTCAATTTTACTCACAGCCACGAGTCGACCGTACTCGTCAAACTCTCCAAACGCAGCAGAGTTGGAGAACTGAAGAGAACCACCATTATTCTCTCCGGTCTGGACCCGGCCAGCCTGGATCTTTAAAAGATTTTGGAAGGTGGCTGGCAAAAGAGCCATGTGCTTGGGCATCGGCTGAGGTTGTGATTGGTTGTGCAGAATTTTAGATTTCAGCTCCTTTTGAGCAAGCTCTTTCTCTGTTTCCTGCAAGGATTTTGTAAGGTCGATGAAACTGTTTGTATTCAGTGGACCGATGTGAGGTTTAAACTTTACCTTACTTCTCTTGGGCTTTTCTAATTTTTTGATCGGTGGTGATGGTGTGCGAACTACCACTTGATTTTCAAATGTCTGAGCACTAGCTATAGTATCCTCTAATGCCATTATCAACTTCAATTGGTCGGCCTCTTTAGGACTGTCAATTTGTACACTGTCAACCTGCTCCTCTTCAAGATCCACTTCAGGCTCCTTGGGAAATAATTCAGGCTCCTGTGGAAACATGACATTATATCAATATCGGTACACTTTACATTAAACAAAACACTTGCTCGCATACATTTATATCGCACATCTCACGCAAGTTTATTCATTAGTGCTAGAGATATTTTTGTGAGACTATACCAACCACGAAAGGAAGGGACATTGAACCAAAGTGGACTGAGAGATCTGGTACATGCAAAAGCACCATACAGGAAGTGAAAACGTTTCTTATCCATTCGCCTCAACCAGAGGCCCAGTAACAACTAACCGGGGCAGTGCGAGAAGTCAGTCCAGAGGGGGCAGAATCTGTAATGGGGACAGATCCCTGTGCCCAGGTGTCGATGGAACATGGCTGGGGTTCCAGGTCCTCCTGCCAGCTGGGGTCACATTCCACTGACAGTTGCCCCTCGTCTCGTGCCAGGAAGCGGCACTCAATCACATTCAGAAGAGCTTCCTTTGCCTGGCTCACTGTGAATGGGATCAGCTGGTGTATGTGACAGAGGGAGACACACCACCAAAAATGAGAGAGATAATAACGAAATTATAAAAAAAAACAAATCCTTACATTGTCTATCAGTGAAGTGGTTAAATTAATAAAAATGCAATACACTATAAACAACTTTCGTGGCTTTGCCATAGGTTGGTTCAGACTTTTGACTTGATTTAAAATTGAATTACTAGATCAGGTAAGTGAGATAAATATTTTGATTTAAAGCTTTCGTGACTGCAGAGATTCATATTCTTGGTTCTATCGGTAAAGTCACGTAGAAGGGAAACAATAAAATAATACAAATATAAAACAATAACATTCTCACGACGTTTCGACTGCAACACAAGCAATCATTATCAAGTGTGAAAAACACGTCAAGAAAATTTAACAAGTAAACCCGTAAAAACAAAGTTTTTCACTCTAAATCCTTTATATGCGTGGCGGCTAGAGTTCTCTCGTCCTCTGGCTTGAGATGGCTGCACTCTATGGGTCAGATGATTGTCTGCCAGTATTAAGCAATTGGTAATTAAATATTTAATTAGTTTTCCCTAAACAGTGTAAAATTTTGGAACAAAAATTTTCACGAAAATTAATTGTCACACACAACGAGTCTGTGTGGAAAATGTCAGCTCGATTGGATCACGGGAAGTGGGTTAAAAAACGAGCGAAAGATTTGCACGGTCCTAAGCAAGCAAGCGAACTTAATATAAAGGATTTAAAAATATATTCGCCTGTGGAGGACGCGGGGATCGATCCCGCGACCTTTGGCATGGGAAGCGAGGGCGCTACCAACTGCGCTACTCCGCCACGGCCTGTGGTGGGGTTACGCTCTGGGCTCTTATACTGTGGCGTTCAGCCAAAGCTATGAATGCGTTCTATTTGAATATATGTAAAATAATTTTTTTTTGCCTAAAAAGTGTACAATTTTGGGAATTTTTTTTCACGAACAATAATTGTCTGGCACAACGAGTCTGTGTGGAGAATGTCAGCTCGATTGGATCACGGGAAGTGGGTTAAAAAACGACCAAAAGATTTGCACGGTCCTAAGCAAGCACGCGAACTTAATATAAAGGATTTAAAAAGTGGTGGTTTTTCTTAACGTTAGCACCACGGACAGCGATTTTGTCGCAAAAATTTTATTGCTTTCTATTTTTATTATTTTATTGTTTCCCTTCTACATGACTTTACCGAAAGAACCAAGAATATGAGATAAACATTGTATGCCTTTTCTGTGTGTTGCAAGGATACAGGGAACCTGTAACATTTGTATACGTCTCAATACAAAAAATAAAAGCATCACTAAAATACACTTCCCTGGAATGATTTAAAACCAGCTGGGGTAGTTCTTGCCTTTTTGGTAAAGCCAATTAATTAAGATGAACGCGAACTTAAGTCAACGACGGTGAACCTTAACCAACGCCGAGACGAACCTGTCTCTGGATGTATATTTTGTGGCACTCCTCCATGGTGCACTCCAATAGCTCCTCGAGGAGGTCCCTCACGTACATCTCACCATCCTCCAGGTCCAGCATAGTTAGCCACTCGGCCTCGGTGAGACGACCAGCGATGATATCGTTGGACACGACCACGGGCGCGGGGGCCACCGGCGGGGGAACGGCCGTGCTGCGGCCCTTCTCTGTCCGAGACCTCGTGGTGCCAGAGCGTGACATGGTCTCTGCAAAGACACATATTGAGACGTCACTTGCAATTGTCATTATCATCATCATCATGAGCAGCAGCCATGTATCAGAATCTGAATATGTATTTATACTAGAGGAATCCGATGAGCTATAAATGTATTTTCACAGATGTCCAGTAGGGGCAGGTCTGCATACATACATGTATTTTGTACTTCTTTCGCACCGTACGTAGTCAACCGTGCTAATCGGAGGTGCGGTGGAAGGACAAACTAAACACAAAACACAATTCTAAAGAAATGAGTTTTCATTCTCGATTTAAAAGTGCCCAGCTCCAGTGGATTCCTCGTGTCAAAAGGAAGAACGTTCCAGACGGCCACATAAGCGTGCATCTGAAAGCGCGCGATGCAATCGCCGTCTTTGTTCGATGGCCAGTCATGATCAATACACTTATGGATCACCGATTTCTCAAGTCATTGTCATCTCTCACGATCCTGCGATGTATAATAATCCACAAACGAGCTCACTTTAGAACTCCAAAGACCACGGTGGAGGTCCCTCCCGTGGCTGGCAGTCTCTAAGCATCGTGTCCTGTGCCCAGGCCGAACTGTTCTGAACAGTTAGAGCGACAACATTTCAATGTTTGTAAGGAAGACATCGATTCTCCCCACCCCCCACCTCTCACAACATCCACTAGCACGGTTGGCTACGTACGATGCGAACTGAGTTCAACACACACACATGCGTGACATTATCAGCCAGGCACAAATGAGTGACAAGACCGTCAACTATAACCATGAAGGGGGAGTGGATTCAAGACGAGTTTCGATTTAAAGCTTTCGTGACTGCAGGGATTCATCTTCTTGGTTCTTTCGGTAAAGTCACGTAGAAGGGAAGTAATAAAATAATAAAAATAAACATAATAAAATAATGTTAATTTGCATTATTTTATTACTTCCCTTCGACGTGACTTTACCGAAAGAACCAAGAAGATCAAGAGGAGTTCTCAAGATTCACATCGGCGCGATCTTGCCGGTGAGCTCACCGTCTCGCCGCGGTCCCTTCAGCTCGGCGTCGAGCGGCGGCGCAGCAACGAAACGACGCAGAAGTAGAGGGCAACGACGGCTGCAACGAAGGCGCAATCGATGAGGGAAGCCAACGAAACACACGCGGAGAGAGCGATCACAAATGCCGCGACACGTTCCGTGCCCAGGGCCGCGTGGTGGTTACCGTGGCGACGCCATCGCGGCGTTGCTATGCGACGGCGGCCGCGCGTCTCGTCGCCATTTCCGCGTGCGCGATGACGTATGGGGGGGGCGTGTCGTCGCCATTTTCGCGTGCGTGATGACGTATGGGGGGAGGCGTGTCGTCGCCATTTCCGCGTGCGTGATGACGTAGGGGGGGGGCGTGTCGTCGCCATTTCCGCGTGCGTGATGACGTGATGGGGGGGAGGCGGGCGTTGCTATGCGACGGTGGCCGGGCGTCTCGTCGCCATTTCCGCGTGCGTGATGACGTAGCAGGGGGAGCGTCGCTAGGCGACGGCGACGTCACCCACCGCCGCCGTCGTCCCCTCCTTACCAAATCAACGTTGCTCGGTCGTGCGTGATGACGTCACCGAGCGGCGGCGCGTTGACGTCATCACCCCTCAACCCCCCCTCCACCACCACCAACTCAACGAGAGAAAGAGACGCTACCGAGGCCATGACGTCCACCACAACCGCCGCCGTTTCTTCTTCTTCTTCGTCGGCTTTAAGCAGCAGCGGCGGCGGCGGCGGCGGCGGCAACATTAACAACAGCAGCTCGGTGTACAAGAAGGAGAAGAGCATACAGATGAAGAACAGCGCGTCGGCGCTCTACAACAACCTGAGCGTGCTGTGCGTGCCCGAGCGCAGCCTCACCTACCTGGCCGTGGTGCATCGCTCGTCCGTGTGCATGGTGAGCGCCTCGGCCGACGGCCTCAACCTCTCGCACCGACAGCTGCAGGCCAAGGAGGGAGGCGCCGCCGCTCAGGCAGCATCGCTCGTGCTGCAGGTGAGAGGGGAGGAGGGTGAGGGAGGAGGAGGAGGGAGGAGGAGGAGGGAGGAGGAGGGTGAGGGAGGAGAAGGAGGGTGATGGAGGAGGGTGATGGAGGAGGAGGAGGGTGATGGAGGAGGAGGAGGGTGAGGGAGGAGGAGGATGATGGAGGAGGGTGAGGGAGGAGGAGGAAGGTGAGGAGGAGAAGGAGGGTGAGGGAGGAGGAGGAGGGTGAGGGAGGAGGAGGAGGGTGAGGGAGGAGGAGGATGATGGAGGAGGGTGAGGGAGGAGGAGGGAGGAGGAGGAGGGTGAGGGAGGAGGAGGAGGGTGAGGGAGGAGGAGGGTGAGGGAGGAGGAGGAGGGTGAGGGAGGAGGAGGAGGGTGAGGGAGGAGAAGGAGGGAGGAGGGTGAGGGAGGAGGAGGATGATGGAGGAGGAGGAGGTGAGGGAGGAGAAGGAGGGTGAGGGAGGAGGAGGAGGGTGAGGGAGGAGGAGGAGGGAGGAGGGTGAGGGAGGAGGAGGAGGAGAAGGAGGGTGAGGGAGGAGGAGGAGGGTGAGGGAGGAGGAGGAGGGAGGAGGGTGAGGGAGGAGGAGGAGATGGGAGGAGGAGGAGGGTGAGGGAGGAGGAGGGAGGAGGAGGAGGGTGAGGGAGGAGGAGGAGGGTGAGGGAGGAGGAGGGTGAGGGAGTATAGCCATTCAGCTCTTGAATCGGGTGCAACCGCAACAAACAAAAAACAAAAACATGAACAAAAAACATCTTAAAGTGAATATGTGACTAAGTGCAAACAGAAAATTCAAGAAAAGACAGCAAAAATATTGCAGAAAAAACACCGTACACCAACGCTGTGTGAGGGAGGAGAAGGAGGGTGAGGGAGGAGGAGGGTGAGGGAGGAGGGTGAGGGAGGAGGGTGAGGGAGCAGGAGGAGGGAGGAGGAGGGTGAGGGAGGAGGAGGAGGGTGAGGGAGGAGGAGGGTGAGGGGAGGAGGGTGAGGGGAGGAGGAGGAGGGTGAGGGAGGAGGAGGAGGGTGAGGGGAGAGGAGGGTGAGGCGAGGCATGTGGCTGGGAGTCGGAACACGTGGGTGGTGTTTTTGACTTGCGTTGCTGGATGGACAACTCGGGTCAGGGACATGGTTGTTGTTGCCCAGGCGTGGTCGTGGCCAGGGGTGAAGTGATGTGGATGATGTGGATTGTCAGGTTGGACGATGAGCGCGAGGGGTGAGTAGACAGCGGTGTTTGGGGGCAAGGGGCGAGTGAGTGGGTCGACTGGTGGCTTAAGGGGTCACGTGAACCCATTGCCTAACACTATGTAACGCAATTTTTGTTCCTGGGTAGTAAGTGTTATTTCGTAATTGCTTATGCCTAAAAAGTATAGAAAAATGGCTATTATTCCCCACAAACTTTGCTTTTATGACCAAGACAGTGATATTTTGAAATTGACCTATTTTCAATGGGAAAATGGGCGAATTTTTGTATTGTCGTTCACATAAAGTCAGAAAAAACATGAATCAAAATTAACATGTATTTATGCTAAAGTAACACAAAAATGACTGCAAAGATCTACACACCAAGGCGCACTACCACAGACCAAATCAGACCTTATTGGTCACCCCGTGCCCTTGTAAATCTCAGCGTTCATCCTACAAAGTCCCATCACAAGGGAGAAACACAAACAAATAGACGAAAACAAATTTGCCCGTATTGAAACGGCTGTATGCCGTAAGGACCTGAAATTTCAATGTCCCTGTACAGGAATACGGGTAAACCGTATAGGTTGACAAGTATGCATAATGTTTGTAGAAAAGGCAAAAGGTGCAGGCCTGACATTTACTGCGTTACGGTTGGCGAAAGGTCGTCCACTAGAGGCCACAAATGATAGCTCAACGAAGTGGCTTATCATGTGGAAATTTATAGCTGCGAAATACTCTAAACTAATGTGTCCACGGGGAGAACATGCAAACTCCAAACATACAGCAGGTGTCGTCAGGGTCGGGATCGAACCCACAGCCTCCTATACTAATAGGGTTTTTCCCCTTTTTTCTGGCAACAAAACTGACACCTTTTGCAAGGAATCATGCTTACATTAACCACAATACCTGCAGTCAAATGCAAACAAAAAACAATACTCTGATAATTTATGCATTGTCTTTGAAACTGATTGGTCCACACCAGAGACAGCTTTCTTTGGAGCCTAGTCTCATATGGTGTTCGACCAGATGACGCCAAAAGACGCACAGTTCAAAGACAACGCAATACCAGAGTAAGGAGAGCTCGAGGTGAGCAGCTACAGCATGGGATCTCCTTTGCCAGTACCAAAATATACTAATAGGGTTTTTCCCCTTTTTTCTGGCAACAAAACTGACACCTTTTGCAAGGAATCATGCTCCTGTATACCTGGCGAGGGAGATAACATCTCGCCACCGTGGCACTAGAGGGCGCCAGAGAGAGCATGAATCTAAAACTGATATTTTCACATACGCTGTAATGTAAGTGTCATGAACGTCATAATTTAACTATAACTACTGATCGATGCATTGTCGCATCTCAAGTAGTTACGGCCATGGTTGGATCTATAAAAAAAATTAGCGTCTGGGATGTGTGAATAGAGGTAAGGGCTGGGTGACCCAAGGCGAAGAGATTAGTGGTCTAGTGTGGGATTATTCGATATCACCTGCTGTGACATATAAATCATAGATATGCACATTCGGAAAGAAAACGGAATAAAAGGTTAAACATGTGCCAAGAACAATGCAGATGTATGGGAGCTAGATGGTTTGATGCATCATAGGACTTATATGTTGACAGCATGGGGTGGCCTTCATCCATCAGTGAATATATCATGGCTGATGATTGTCATATTTTAAGCGATGCATGTATTTCATATTATGTCCACTGATCACAACAAACAATAAACTGCATGTGTTATGTGCTGTGGCTTTTTGAATGCCGTTGCAGGCCAGCTGGTGCATCCTCCCATCTCGGGTGCTGTTGGTGCTCACATCTCTCCGTGGGATACAGGTGAAAAGTGACGGCGCTGCAGATATAATGGCGTTGCACACAGAGCAGTTCAAGCCACCAACTTTGGTTTACTCAAGAGTGTCTTCTTCTTGTTTTTGATATTATGCGTGATTATTTGCAGATGTACGAATCGGATGGCTCTATAATGGTGTACTGGCATGCATTGGAAATTCCCGAGACTCCAACAGGTATAATGCTTATGAGCGTGCAATAGTAATACTATGAGGTGTGTATTTATATGCATATAAATGAATGGACTGCATTGGCAGTGGTACACTTGCATAAATGAAAAAAACGTTCCACACTTATCATTGACACTGCCTTATTGTATAATATAGTTATAATGGGCTGAAATTTTGGTGAATTTTCTGAAGAAAAGCCATTACCTCAAATGTCTATTGTATATTGTAAAGCACTGTTATTGATTGCGGTGAGTTATTGTTTTCTTTGCATATTCACCTTAACCTAATGTATGTTCACAATGACCCAGTGACTAAAGTACTGAAACTTTACAGCCAATTGACACTGCGCTGCTGGATGAAGGCCTCTCCACGCCATTTTGATTGTCGGGGTTCTTTATAAAATAATTCACCTCGACTGATTGGTGCTGGTTGGTGAAGTGGAGAGCTCCGGACCGATTCAGACATCACTTGCTGTCGATGTTGGTCATTGCCAGGCATCAAACTTAGGTTATCGAGTTTATGGTGCAGTGCCCTGACCACTGTTCCACTGCTCCACCCAGTGACTAATATACAAGTAATGCAACGATATGTTGATGCGTAAATAACTGGTTCAAATTCAGATATATCCATTTGAATTTTAGTAACTCGTGTTTTGTAATGTCTTTGTTTCTATTATGCATGCAGCTCGGGCTATATTTGCAAGAGGAATAGCAGCTGTGGGAGGTCATTACATCTGTGTTGGTAAGTTGACTACAGTATATAAAAAAATATATATAAATTAACTTGCCAAATAATTATCCATATAGTTGTATTTTACGTGATATGTACATCACTTGAAACTACTCGGCGTGTGAAGAAAACCATAAAGACAGTTCGTTCTAGATTTGAAGTTTTCGTGACTGCAAGGATTCATACTCTTTGTTTTTTTCGGTAAAGTCACGTAGGTAAAAAATTTTAATAAATTAAATCACCATGTTTCGGGCGCAACACAAGGACGCTTGTGTTGTGCCCGAAACGCGCCCGAAACGTGATTTAATTTATTTTAAGACAATTCTTGTAGTATTAGTTTGTAACAGAAGGTGGCAGTATAACGTCACTGAGGAAGGGTAAGTGAAATGTTTTGAGGCATTGTCCATGATGGCTCTGACCACACCAAAGAGAGAGGAAATGTTTCCTCTCGCTTCTAACCTGTAGTACATGTTAGTTACGTATTTCTTATTTCAAAAGAGATTATATAATTCACTTGGGTTTAAAATCTTCAGAGCCGGGATCATTAGCTCTTGACACGTGTAATTTAGATTGGCTGCAAATGTCAGCATCTCTTGACCATCTTGGTTTATATGATGCCACCTTAATAGATATGGACATGTGCTGGTACTGGTAGGATTATTGTGTCCGTCCATCGTGCATCCAAAAATGGGAGGGGTCGGACTGGGTGGAGAGGGGAGGGTGGGGAGGGGCTGGGTGGAGAGGGGAGGGTGGGGAGGGGCTGGGTGGGGAGGGTGGGGAGGGTGGGGCTGGGTGGGGGTTGGGAGGGATGGGGCTGGGTGGGGAGGGGCTGGTCACCCCGTGGTGCCCTTATAAAACTCAACGTTTAACCTACTCACGCCGGCATGTGCCCGCCCTCACAGTCAGGCATATTTGCGGAATACACCACGCCGCCGTTGACCGAGCAACCCAACGTCCTACCAGCTCCCTCCACAGGAATGTGTTTTATGCGTGGAATAATTTGTACGTAAAACTCATCTTTAAATCAGAGATTGATGTAAATGTATACTATTATATTTACTTATTTTTTTGCACTTAATTACTACATTTTTAAATAGCATGGATTAAAATGTTTAAATCGTTGAGAGCTGTGCGTCTTTCTAGCTTTGAAATACAGTTGCATCTGTTATATCCTTAATATTGAATTACATACGGTCACATGCATGCATGCATGCCATTTCGAATGTCTTCTTATGAATTGCCTCCCCAAGGTGATGACAAAGGTACATTCTATCATGCAGTGCAATGCAAAGTCAACTATTTCCGTCATTTCAATGCCGTCCCTGTAAAAACGCTTTACCCACTTACGTGAAAGCATTCACATTGTGCACACATTAACTTTTATCAATGATCGCAACAGCACTGCAGCACAACGCTGACCTTGTTTATTCTGCCTCATTCAGGCTTGGCAAGCCTTGAGACATAAATTGTATGGAGCTTGATGCTAAGCCAGCACGAGCAGCTGCGTTCGGCGTGCGTTTGTCTTGGTGTTTCGGCAGGGACATCCTCGGGGTGCATCTTAGTGTTTGACGTCCCCGTGAAGGGCACCAACATCACGCTGTCCGAAGAGCTGGGGCAGCACACGGAGGCCATCACCTCTATTGCTGCCGAGTGCTCCATGAGAAAAGTGAGTTGACTAGGGCCACACTTTGATGTGGAAATGTGGACCCTGTCTGGCATCTTGGAGCAGTGGTTGTTTATCCTGGGTGTGTGCGAGCTGCTGTGTGTTAGATTAAATTTGAGTGTGTTGTCTCTAGTCAAAAGTTGTTATAACATAACGTAAACTCGCATAAGCAGGTGTCTGCATTTTAATGTTCACATTTTATTATTCTACTTGAATGTAAATAATAGAAGTCTACAGAAAAATATTGCACGATAGACTCATCAAAATATAGCAATAAATGACCAGTTTTACCAAAATTGAAACTGTTTTTAAGGAAACATATATCACGTGACTGAACGGGATAATGCACTTCCAACTTTAAGATTACTTTTAATATCCTTCCATGTTTGTGCTTTTGAAACACTTTAGCTACTTAGTCTTACTTAATTTATTTTAATTGGTATTTGTCTCGGAAGCCTTGCTTTTATTCAGATTATGAAACTGGCAGCATAATACCAAAATATCAATTTCACTACTTTAGTTATAAATTATGGATCAGTAATAGCTGTCGTTTTGACAAAAAGGGCCATCAGCCTCAAAATGATGCATGCGCTGCAGTAATCCATGCTGTATGAATCTTGCCAGCACTTTAACATGAAGAGAGCAGGAACAAAGCTTTCAATCTCCCTAAAACATCATTGATCTTAAACTGGACATTATGGTAATTAAATCCCCATTGGAAGATATTAACCTGAAATATTTATAATCCCTGTCCTGGCCTTCTGGTAAAGTAGAGCGGGCCAACGCCATTCGCCGCAGGAAAGATAGGTCCTCTGTATTATTAAAGAGACTTTTAGTGGGTTTTACATTAAGAAGCAGTTTGCCAAAGTGCTAATACATTATTCATGGTGCTCTTTAAAGAAACGGAGGCAGCGTTCTTTGGGGATTACCATGCTATATGGCATGATGAAACTGGGCAGCAGGTAAAATCTTTATTATCAGACATTCTGGAGGTCTCATGAACCTTGAGGCAAATGACTCCTCATCACTAATTCATAGCTGGAGATATTGTACATACTGCAGTCAAACAATGGCAAATTGGAAACATTCCAGGCTGTCACTCACAAATAGAGGATGTATTAAACATGATGGGCGCAATAATACATTCAAACAGTATGTCCCCGATGGAAGGAGGATTAAGGCTCGACTCATCTGCCATCCTCAGGGAAGGCATACTCATCTGCCAAGGCCATAAAGCATGAAGTTTAAGAGCTAATTCATTGCACAATAGCTCTAGGATGAAGTTTTAAAAGCAAATTCATTGCAGCTTTATCAAAGGGCACTCTAATTGCTGTGGCATGAGTGTAATGGATGTGGATCTATAGTGCCATAGTTAGTACTCTGTCTGCTACTCATGCTCCATGCATTTATAGAGGTCACATTGAATGGCAAATACCAAAGGCTAATGGATTGTTCATTGAACACATATTTGGTAGATATAATCAAAAGTGTGGATGCATATATGTAGGTGTATAGAAGGGTTGTGCCCTCGATGTTTTGGATTAATTAAAAAAAACGTTTAAAAAGTCAGACCTTGATATGATATTTCTGATGATTGAAAATTATATTTTTTCAAATTATTTCAAAAAGGGAAGTGATGTCACTGATATTATGTCACTTCCACTGTTTTCCCACCCAACAATTGTGTCACATGGTGTAGAAGGACATCACTGTTGTGTGCCCGAAGACACATACATATATAACATAAGGTAAATTATCTGAAAATATACAAACTATTCTTAAAAATGCAACATTTTACAATCTGAAACTCATCCCTAGAATGCATGTAGAGCATATGAACATGATAGATTTTAGTGTACACTTACAGCCTTTTTGTCAATCCTCTGTTGGATGAGGGCCTCTCTACCAGTTGCAGGGGTTATTTGATCATATTTCACCATGCGGATTGGTGAAGACAGGGAGCATAGTACAGGACAAACATAGATTTTGCTGTGCTGTCCTCACATAACCACAACATAAGTTCTACAATAGCCTATAACACCTGTTATGCATGGTGGTTGCCCATCCAAGGACTAGGCATGCTCAGATTCTGCTTAGCTTCTGAGATGTGATGAAATCGGGCGTGTTCCAGGTGATATGGTCTAAGGAAGATTTCTGTGTATTTTATTGTAACTGAGATGAATACAGTAAAACCTTGGATTGCGAGCATAATTCGTTCCGGAAACGTGTTAGTAATCCAAAGCACTCGTATATCAGTTGTGATCACGTGACGCTCGGCAGACAAAGCGAATACTGTACTACTCGTATTGCAAGATCTCGCTCGTTTATCAAATTAATATTTATTTTAAATGTTTTCTCGTCTTGCAAAACACTCGCAGACCAAGTTACTCAAAATCCATGGTTTTACTGTATATTCAAAGTACACGTGATTCAAGGCATTTGAGCTACTTGTATTTTTAACTTGAAATTGATTCGAATTCGTGTCTATTTGTACACAACCTGCATAGCTGTGCTTTATTGTATGCTAATGTTTATACAATTGACCTAAATATGAAATAGAAAATATCCTCGCAACGTACCGAGTTCAATTTCAGGTCGGCAAGTGTGGAAAAAGTGTTACATTCCCATGTCTTGTGTTTGGAAGCATACACAGTGGAAAGCGGCCAACTTTTTACATCCAAAGCAAACAGTTATGACTGGTGCCACGTGTAGGTCACTTGGAAATATTTTAGTGTGTCATGGGCGTAATTCCGAACTTCACGGAGCGCATGGTCGCAGGCAGTTTAAACTCCCTGCATGTTAGATTGAGATGCATGACCACCGTCTTTCACAGGAAAAGAACAACAACCGTAGTTTAGTTTGGCCAGCTAACCCAAATTATTACGTATTTTGACATTCCGTGGCTTTGGGGAACAAAAAACAGGCACTTGATTTGAAACACCTGTACTGCGGCTCGGCCATTCGCCACACAGTTGTGCTCTTGCCTCAATCAGCCATCGAGAATGAAGTTATTATATCATTGATTATTTGGTTCAACTAATCCACGTCAATGTATTGGTTCTGGTGTAGTGTGAGGCCTTGTAATTGGTTGTGTTTTATTGCAGGGCAAGGGGCTTGGTTTGAGTTATAATTGGTGTACATGAATTTTAGTTTACGTGATTTTTTTTTATGGTCAAACTAATTTATCGTGTGTTTTCAATGGTGAATCCATTTACTTTACAAAATGTATGCTTTCATGCATGCTGGTGAATTTCACGGACACGGTTACCTATTTTGCAGACATAGTGAAACATTTCACGCAACGTGACAGGAGTGAAATTGTGAACGATGTTAACTTGAGCTGTGACTGAAGCGTTTAAAGTCTGGAGCATTAAAAGTGTACGACTGAATATTTTCAGCTCGTCAAAAAAGTTGCAACTGATCTACATGCCTCGGATACGATGGTAACGACTCACAAATTCCAACCGTCACAGGCAATCTGTTTCGGGAAAAGGTCGAGCTTGTAGAACAGATGGGCTGCAGAGACCATGCCATCAGTTTGAATTCTTCAGCAGATTGATGCAATAGCCATATCTAAAGAGGCTTGATTGAATGACTAATTGGGTCTGTAGGTTTTCCATGATTTGATACAAGAGACAATAGTAGATTTTAAATACTGCCATGATAACTGTTTGCCTTTGACATGGCTCAATGTGGACATTGCATTACTGCTTGTGAACTGTAGGAGGAGATAATGCGCTTTTATTGATTATTGGGTTTTTAAAAAAATAGTGAGCATTTAATATGCTGTAGAATGTTTACAAAGAGTTAATGAATTGCGAAAAAAATTAAATGAAAATGTTACATATGGTCATTACAATAATATAAACAACTGACAGTTTTATGTCTGTATAGATTTTTTTAGAATGACAGTTCTTGGTTTTAAAAAGGTGTGATATGTTCTGGTGAATATTTTTCAACAACTTTGTTGCAATATTATTTAGCTTTAATTTTGGCGCACAAGTATTATATACTTAATGTTTTTCTTCACCCATTATTCCACAATGGTGTAAGTTTACTAAATTATAAAAAAAAAGTAATTGATAAATAAGTGGATAAAAGTTTCAGCAATATTTTTAAAATTTATACTTGGTATATTTTATTAGTTTTAGATTACTGCATATTGTAATATTAAGGACAGCTAGAAATCAAATGGGGAAGGAAAGTGATTAGAAAAGAAATGAAGAGTTATGTGAAATCATGGCAATATGAAAAGTTATTAGAAAAGCAGTAACTCTTATTACCATCAGCTGTACGAATCCAGACAGCTTTATTGGAACCATGCGTTTTATATTCAGAATATCGCAGACCTGACAAGCATATATGCACCATTAATTGCTAGTACTGTGACCGATAGATAGCTGACGTAATCATAATTTCTTAGTCATATTATGTTTTTTTTCTAATTGTGTGTGTCTATACATATATACACACACAATTAGAAAAAAAACACTGGGCAACTACAATAAATTAAGAATTCCAGTTCAAGCAACCTTTTGTTAGATTAATTTCTTCAACCCTTGCTTTATGTAATGTTTAATTTAATAAACACTTTGATATTTTGGGTCAATAAAAAAATACATGGACATCTTCATGCATTAATTTTTTTCTCAAAATGTCTTCAAGAAATGTAAATGGTATATTAGGCACATGCACTTTATATTCTTAATATTGATATATCGTCATGATTCAGAGTTAGAGAATCAGTCGAATAATATATTTTTCGTCTCTTTTGACCAACTCGATTAAATTGTTTATTGTTTCATCTGCCTCGCTTGCACCGTGTCTTTGCTGTGATAGCCGAATGTAACATTACATTAGCACGGTTGGCTACGTACGGTGCGAAATAAGTTCAACATGCATATGGAGCATATAATTTACATAAATTGTAAATAGAACATTTTCATAAGCATGATTAGAATTGTGTATCATGTGCATAACGTTTTAAATATTCGTACCAATGCATTGCTACATACCAAATTTATGTATATATCAACACAGCATTATACTTTGAAATAAAATAAAAACTTTTTTTACTCTTCAACTCGTGAAACAAAAAAATTGGAAAAAATAACAACGATTTACGCTTATTCCTTGCGAACATTAATTGACATAGCGGGAAGTATCATTGTTAAAGCGTGAAATGAGAGAGCTATGTCAGTCTGCCCATTGGAACAGCCGTCTGTTACTAAATCCCACCATCGCCTGGGAGGTGGATCAAAGGAGCGGCATGGGGCTGCGCTGGTTTCGGCGCGTCTGATTTGCCCATTAAAGGCGGCTAGGGGTCAGTGGCCTGGCCCCTGGGTCACTAGTGTTTGTGCAACCTTTATTCTCCGGCAACACTGCCGCATGACACGTCTATTCATCACGTCACCCCCATCCTGGTGTGCTCCTTGTGGAGTTTCGAGCTTGTGCGAGCCACCAGAGCTGTTTCATCGCTTTTCATTATATTCGTCTTGAAGTATATATGCTCATGTGCAGGGATTTTGCTCAGAGTTTTAAATCATAACGGGGCACAATGTGTTTCTCTCCTACCGGTGTAGCGGTGCAGACACATACGCATTCGCTGCTGTTCAGTGTAACTGTGCAGCACTGGGAATTTTTTTTCTTTCCATAGCTCTTTATTAAATAATAAATTCATTATTCCAGTCCTATATCATTCATTCAAAATGCACTTGCCTTTGGAGTTCACATTTGTCTTTAATGCAGAGATATTCTCGTCAATCAAAGAAGTTCCATGTACTGTTTGGTCGTGTTTATGGATAGTAAATATGTTTATGTAACAAATGTTCGTAAGAATGGGGTTATAATTTTCCAAATGTAAAGCAAGAGTCAATGTTTGCACAAAGGAGGACATGAAATAGCCCTGTAGTTTTTTTTGGGGGGTGTAGGAGTGTCTTGGAACATTTAAAAGAGATAAAGCACCTGAACTTGGCACGCTATCGGGAGCAGACTTAATGGACGGCAAGGAAAAGAAGTCGTAAATCAGCACGGTTTGACAAGGCCAAGGCCTAGCTTGCAAGACTGATTCCAATTTCCAAGTCCTCCCCGCTCCCCCCACCCCCCTCAGCTCCTCTCATCTCCTGCCGCATGCTTCCCGGTTTCTGCACTGTAAGTCCACAGGAGCTCAGTGGGGATTGTATGAGTCACTCATGCACTCCCCGCACGCTCCCACCGCCAGCCGTGGCTTTACGAGGGCTTCAGGATGATGCCTGCCAGCCTGGCTGCACATCCCAGCATGTTGAAATTTTTTTTCCCCTCCCTGCTTCTCCCCTTGTGTATTTTCTTGGCCACCGTTGAAGTAGCCAAGGAGCCGAAAAAGCACATGCCATGGGTTTAACCTGGCCTCGCATACATTCCATAAACGTCTTCGCTTTGCAGCTTAGTCTTCATCTCTGAAAATGCTAAGTTTAGAATAGCGCCGAGCGGAGGTGGAAAGAAATCGTGATGATTGGAAAACATTGCGGGGAGGCCTTTGTCTAGCAGTGGGTTTGTAATGGCTAATAAAGAAACTACAGTGTGGTTTTAGGACCAGCCTTTGTCCCATACGCACACTTCTATACACAAAAACATGAAGGTTGTTATACCAACGGTTCGCCAATTAAGATGATTAATCGACTAAGAAATTGCTGTTGACTACTTTCATCGTGGTTGACTAACCGGGCCCCTTAATCGAGGCGGGCGCACCAACATTCTGTCTGCCGAAGGTGGGAAACCCCTTACAAGCCATGCCCACAGCATGATGCCTTGCATTTAGGATTCGTTTCTGTTCAACATTTTTCCACGTAGTTTTTTTTCCCAATATAAAATATATATTTACATTGTAGACATGTGTTTTTATGTTGTAGGCTCACATTATGCCTCTAAAAGATCGGGAGGGCCCTCTTTGTGTAGTGTCATGGGAACTTTGTGCCTGGAACATGTACCTTTCAACTCCTACTGATAAGAATACAACATCTCAACTGGGAATAACAAACAGTTATATCTATTGAAGGTAATTATCTTCGGCGGCAACTTTGGCACGGTCTCTCCACTGCAGCCATGTACATTGGAAGGCTAGTGTCCTGGAAGGTTACCACTCGGGATTATGCTCTCACTACATTTGCTCATCAAGTTAAAAGGTAGAATCATTAATAAACATCGTGTGATACGTCATAGTCATAGTATAATGATGATGATGAAAACAAACATTTTAGTAAGTCAATTTTAGCCATCCAACAATAGATATCTGCAGCGAGCAATCACAAGCATCCAACTCGTCTTTCAATTACATCATTTTTCCTGCTCTCCAGATCTGGTTATGCCCTAAAAACAACAGTTTTCTCACCCAGTTGATTAGCACGGCTGGCTACATGCGGTGTGAAAGAAATTACGTTTTTTCTTCCTTCAAAAGTTGGCTCTGCAGTAGAGCGATAATCGCCGCGCAAGTTAATCAAGACACTTGAGATAGTTTTGGTCGCGACAGCGCGACGTACGTTTGCTTATGTATGCGACGCCGCTGTGGCCGGCGCTCTATAGACGGGGGGGGGGGGGGGGTGGAACCTGCTGGCCAAGCCGTCTTGCGGCGGTGCCATGCTCCCTACTCGAGGAGTCGCGTTGGGAATTTTGCCAGCAAGGAGCTGCCGCGAGGACAGATCCTGACACTCAGACAGCCATTAGACCGGAACTCGGAGGGCTGAAATGTGAAACCCTGCCACGGGAACCCCAAACATTCACACCATCCCAGTTTTATTCATGCTGGCTTTAACCTCTGTGACCTACCGGCTTGTGTGTGGGGTTTTTTTTGTTTGCCACCGTTACGTTGGTTGACAGCCAGCAATCATCGCAGCATATTTATAATTTGTAAGTGTCTTTTACTGTGTGATGAAATAAATGTCTGTGATTTAGTTCACAAAATTAATGCAACTAAGTATAGCTTATAAGTGTTGAAGTTATCAGGGATTTGTATTTGAGGGACGCAGTATTATTATTTTAATCGTGCCGTCATATCATTGAAATGTTACCTTTTAAACCGAGTGTGATTGTATTATGCGGTGATGCTCATAGATTGCGACAGCCATTTTTATAAATTTGGTGAAAGGTTTTAGCATTGGTAATTGCAATTATTTGGAAATTTTGGGAATTGACTAATTACTCAACTGGAAGCCGAGATTTCTACCACAGCCTAATCTGTAATTAGTATGTTTATAATTACAGTTTTGTTACAGGATTTTACTAATCAACCCGACATAAGTTGCACAACTATATGCAACCTTTGCTTTTGTATGTAAGCTGAACACAACTTTTTCTAATAATCAAGTTAGTTTTTTCACTTTGAAAAGGACACTTCCTGTTAGAGTTCAGAAACTCTTCACGCTTTAATACTTCCATATTTTAATTCATGTATGATTGTCACCATCTTCCCGTTGAACATTATTGTCGTTTGAACGTCATTTCTGTAAGTGATACGCACATTGTAATAGCGCCTAAGCCCATAGTCCATTTGCCATTACCGCTCGTCTGCCACATGCGCACATCTGATTTTGTGGCACTTTAAGGCAGCCCCTTGCGCTAAAAGCATTAACGTTTAAGCCGCTGCCACTCTCCCCGCAGGACTGTGTCCCTGACCTGGTCACGGCCGATGACAGCGGGGTGCTGTGTGTATGGAAATCGGGAGAGGAGTTTACCTTGCTGTACAAGCTGCCTGCATATGGGTGAGTGATGGCCACAGGACACGGCGTGGCTTAATGGGCAAAACCCGAGTTGTTCCGTTGCGTGTTAAAGGATAAAAGTCCATGTCCTCAGCGGTTCATTCGCTTAAATTGCGAGGGAGATTATTGGTCTGACTGCGCAGACTAATATATAGCGGTTGTAAATCAGGGACCTGGCACATTCCAAAAAGGGAGAAGTCCACGCTTTCCTTTGCCAGCTTTCTACTCGGGGCCAAAATCACACGGGGGAACTGCGCTCTGCAAAGTTCAATAAATCAGGACGACAAATTAATCATGTTTTTACACTTTTACACATCATGTGGGGATTTCGGGAAAAAAGTGGGTTTTTTATTAAATGTTTGAGCAAAAAAATCTCTCTCAAGCCTTTCTGAGAGCACGTTTGGGTGGCGTGAAATGGCTGCGATGACTGTGTATTTAGTGGCTTGGCAAAGATAGTCCCTCTTTTAAATTCATGCAAACTATTGATTATCTTATTTTGCATTGTGATGTCAGATATTTAAAATCACTTATTGCTGATTTTGGCAAGCATCGACTAAGTCGCTAACTTTAATGCGCAAAATTCAAGTAAAAGAGGCTCGTTTGTGGTGACAACTTTGTATATTTCGATCAGTGGATAGTAATATGCTTGACCATAGACACGCTACAGTCTTTGCACTATCAGTAAAAGTATTTCCATGTTTGTTGTACAATAGCCCTTTGCAGCAAAAATAAGTTAGACCCGTTCACACGCATGATTGCCGTTTGCTGAAACAAGTAAACAATCTAGGATTATTATTATAAGTGTAGGGAATTAAGTGTGCCAAAACATTGTTCTAATATTTGTACACATGATAGAAACTTACGTACGTGTATAAAGGTCCACCATTTAGTCGGTGTAAGGCGCACTGGTACTACACAAAAGGAGTGGGATGATCAGCATCACACCTGGCCACCATTGTCTTCTCCGTACTGACTTTCACAAACCGCACCAGGTACTCATCGTGAGCTCAGTTTATGTATGGTAAGCATATGCTAGCTTCACATATCGACGGCTAGGGCTTGAGCCCAGGTCGGCCAAGAATATAGTGCAGTGTGATAACGCAACTTCCAACTCTTTGTAGAGATAATTGCACACACATCAGAACTCGTAGTTTGCCCACTCTCAGTTGAAACTAAGAGCCAGTATTTTAACAAACGTTTCTTAGTGAGCTCATACTTTCATTTTGCATTCAGTGCGTACTGTTAAAGCCAGAAGCAAATCGAGATATAATTAAGGACAAAATGAATTCTTGCTCTCTTGCATGTATGAAGCTGACTGGGCAAAAAAGGAATACCAATTTAATCTTGAACTTTTTTCAAAGGTCACCCAGAGTCACTGTTTCTGCACTGGGTTGAGTTAGATTTTTTTTCTAATGAAATATGCATTATTAAACAGCCATGAAAGATGGTAAAATAGCTTCTTATGGTAATACTTTTCCCAATCACCTGTGTGCAAGCTGCATGGCTTCATCTCAGTACTGCTAACGCCACAGCAGCCAGAGCTACTGTCTGATATGGTCATTTACACAAATATTTCCTTTATGGCTCTCAATCTTAATGTTCCCTTGGCGCATGCACAAAACACATACGTTATTCTAAAACACATAAGTTCTCCTCAGGTTGTCCAGACAACTGAAATATTATGGCATAGTTGTGTGTGCAATAAATCTTTTAAAAAACGCATACGCACATAAACAAAATGTCTTCATTCGAATAAATGTGTATGTTGCGCTTATTTTATGTATGTTCACGGTATTCTTTCGCGTTTGCTAAAGTATTGCCTAAAAGCCATCTCAATGTGTCTTTGTGACTTTATATTGAATGGGAATAGTAATCAGTGACATACTCGAATAACTCTTTCTCAATTTAACTTAGCAGTATTCATAACCCACTATTTAGTCATACATGTTATCAAATTGCATATTGAACTTCCCATTGAAATTGTTAGGTAGCAGCTATTGAAACATTGTCAATGTTAAATGGTGGCCTGACTTGATCTGGACCTCCAGTGCCACCTTGGTACACGTATGAAAATAGGTCCTGGTTGGCTTTTTGATGAAGCCCATTGGGGCTTTGAAAAAAAAAAAAATTTCCAATAGACGCTCCAAGCCTGGGGTGTGTCATTCAGACTCTGTCTTCTCGACAGACCTGTTCTTCACCTGAGGACGGCTGCTTGCATTGTGGCCGAAACGTCTTGAGAATTATTTTATTATGTTTTATTTTTATTATTTTATTCTTTCCATTCTACGTGACTTTACCGAAAGAACCAAGAAGATGAATCAGTCACGAAAGCTTTAAATCGAAAATTAATTTCCAACCAGGAAACACTAGGAGATTCAGGGACCCACTTATGCAATCAATTCACAAACCAGGGCTCTAAAGGAAAAATCGTGAATTTGAGAGAAGGAGCAGGATGAGGAGGAGGAGGAGGCTCGCGTTTGCTGCCACGCCGTGTCGGTTGCAGGTGCTCGTGTACCTCGGTGGCACTGTGGGACGGCATCGTGGCCGCCGGCTATGGCTCGGGCCAGATCCGTGTCTACGACGGCGCCACGGGGGCCCTGGCGGCCGAGGCCAACGCCCACGCGCGCTGGATCAACGTGCTCGATGTGGCCCCGGAGAGCGGGCGTGTGAGTGAGCCCTGCGGCAGCAGCGGCAGCAGCTGTCGTCGCCGTCCGTAGCTTCATTGCACTTTGTGTTTTGTTTTAAATATTTGGTTGACTCGAGGTTGGACAGTTGGCTAAGAGCTAAGATTACTGAGCTGGAGCTGCGAAGATTGGGGGTTTCAACCCAGGTTGCTAGCTTAGGATTTAACCAGTTTCTAAAGTGTATGGTGTCAGCCCAATCACTAATGTGACAGTACAGAAAAAAAAACAATACAATTTGTTTCTGCACTTCATTTTTATACATTTCAGCTCCGACAATTAAAATGTTGGTTTGACTGTCATGTGAAGACCATCACTGTCACATGGGATGGCGGGTATGAAAGTCCTGCCCCATACTGTGGTGATCAGAGGTCACTTGAACAGATCTCGGACGTGATTTTATTGTATCCGTTTCCGTGTGTGGATATCACAGCAGTGTTGCACTGCTCTACAATAGGTCCGAATATATATTTTGTCGTATGAAGTGACACTTACAACACAATTGGGATACAATTGGGGAACATTTGAAAGGCATATTGTTAGACATAGTTGCCTAGTGGTCACTATGATCAGCTCCGAATTCAGGGGTCACTTTTTTCGGGCTTCCTGAAAAGGCTTGCGCTCTATGCTGTGCTAGTGTGCGTGTGTGTGTGTGCTGTGACTGTTTCAGCTTCTCTCAGGTGCTGAAGACTCCTTTGTGAGAGTGTGGAAATTGGGGCGGGCAGCCGACACGGGTCTTATTGAGGTAACGCGAACCAATTGTGTTACTCTACCTTTGGGTAATACAACCAGGATCAAATAGGCTATCATTGCTGTCAAATTGTAGATCTAGAACTGAATTTATATCCCATGCCCACGTGGTCAAATATTCCCAAGCTTATACTACATCTATATTAAATCGTTAATACAATGGATGTTTTTGTCCTCTTTCATCTTTGCGTTAGAACATACACGTTGTACTAGGGACGTGCTGTGAAATATAAAGCTGCGTGTTGATTTTACATGAAAGGTGATGGACGCATTTTTATGCTTGCACAGTTTTTTTTTTGTAATTAAAGAATGTCAACCATTTGCAGGAAACCAGAATGAGCGTTTCACACCATTGAAATAAAGTGTGAGCCCGTATTTATCACGAGCCCTACATTTATCGCCCTACACATCTGTTGTTCGCTCAAGTTATGTCAATGAATTCCCAATCATTTCCGACGAACGGATGAGAGACGCTGGTGCAGATAAAAGTGGTTCAAATATGTATACCGGCTTGTTGTTCTTTGGAACTGTCAAAGCATGCAACACCTGCATGTTTTATCAAGACAATCTTGTCAGGGGGGGGTGTCTAGCTGATATGTCTCTTTTATCCAAGGGGATTACATGCAGGTGTTGTATCTCCCGGCGATCCGAACCTTCCTGTGGCTCGGTAAAAGACAATCCACGCAATTTCAACTTGGCGTATCAGTGGCTTATCAACCAATTAGTTTGTCTCACAGACAGTGGCGTCAGTGCGTGAGGCTGCTGTGCGAAATGGAAATATTGTACGTCCCACGGGAAGAGGCACGAGTGAAGGTGGCGAAACGTTCCAATGAGGGACACGAGACCAAATGGGAGCTGTGGAACGAACCATGTGCTTTTAAGCAGCTGTCTTCTGAAATAAATATTTTCAACGAACACTTATCCAACTAAACGGAACGTCAAGCTTACTCTCCGCATCTACACTATATTTCAGTATTGTCTATTGTAAATGGTATACAGGTAAATTTCTTCATGTTAGTGTTCATAAGAATAGTTTATTTCCGCCCAAAGAGATTTTATATCTTGTAATGGTTGCGTTGTTTTAAATGGCAAAACAGTGAGTTGTGGTAAATGCCACGCACTGTGTGAACTCAGTATAAGAATATTTTACTCATGTTCCACCACAGTCCAGTTTGTACGCATTTACCAAAATTATTAAATTTGATGTACTAATTGTTTGATTTATCCTGGGAAAAAAATCACCCGAGTCTCAACGCTTTAAAGATGATGGTGATTTTATTTGTAGGTAATGTGCACATCAAGCGCCTCAACAAGGAAATCTGGACTGTAATGGCGCTGGAGGAATTGTTGTTGGAGAGACGTGGGCCGAGGAGGTGACGGTGTTACGTCACGCCGGTGACCGGAACTTTTTTTTTTGCCCCTTTTTTGTTGCAGATTGAGCACAGGCACAGCGAGTGCGTGACAGATGTCCAGATAAGCGGTGCCAAGTTTTGCGACGCGCAGGGACGGGCCTTCGCCGTCACGGGCTACGACCTGTGCGAGATCATACGCTACGTGCTGGCGGCCTGACCGAGGCCTGCTAAGCGCCGCCGGCTCAACGCGTCCTTGCTGGTTTAGCTCGCCATCCTTTCACTGTTGAGTGAAGCCGTTGCCTCCCATCGAGTTGTGGCCATGGCCACCCAGTTTTGCATTTGTTGTTGTTGTTACATTAATAGAACCAGTTACTAATTGGTGACTGTTTGGTGGACAGGAATTGGCAGTGCAGCAAAATATGTTGTTGTGCTGTAACTTCTATGCTCCCACGGCTATGCTTCCCACCTTTACCAACGCACACTGACCAGCGTGCTGTAGTATGGCCAAATGCAAAGATCCCCCGTATAACCTTACATTTTTGGGTTTAAGTGCTGTTAGTGAGCACCTATGAAGGTCGGCACAGCACGCGAGGGGGTGTGTGGCCAACAGCAGGCCAAGCCGCCTTCGTCTCCCGAGTGGCGATGTTTACATACTGCACCAGGTACTCATTTGAGGCTGAGTCGACCGAGGGGAGGCCCAGGGCTGGTTCAGACAATCGTCACTGGTGTTGGCCGTAAGCTGGAATCGAACCCAGGTCGCCGGATTCGTAGCACCGTGTGCTAACGCTCCCCAGTGTGGTTAATAACCCCCATGACCTGCATGGCATGGGGAGGCCCTCATCCAACAGTGGAATGGCAAAAGGTCCTGTCCATGTACAAAGCTAGTTTACAGATGCATTAGTGAAAAGAGGAAATCATATTGTACATTATGACTCGGGTGTTACATCCTTTGTTGAACGCGACATTTCTCTCCTTTGTTAAACACAAGGCTTCTAGCGATAGTTGTTATTCTCTTTTCATACAATGAAGCATTTTAAAAATATTTCCACTTTGGAGGTCACAACTTGCGTCTCGCTGCATTGTATTGCAGTGCAGGCGTGCTGGGCTACCACTAAGGGGCACTGCAGTCCTTTGGCGTTGAAAGCCTGACCTTTCCCTTCTTTCCTTGTTGGAAAAGGTGCAACCGTGATGGACGTGCGTGGTGTCGACCAAGCGTGCAGCTCTCAGATTCTCTCTTTGGGCATTCGTTAACTTTCGTACGTGCGTGGGTTTTTTTTTTTTTAAACCGGTTGTAACACTCCCGTTTTAGCACTTGAATCCTCTAATCAGTGGATTGTGCGTTTCACACTGTCTCTGCAAGATTACGCCGATATGGATCTGCCGAGTGTGGGGGTGTCTGGGTGGGCACGGAGCACCAGGGATCTTACTTCAAAGCTTCACACTTGAGACCACCATCTTGAATCCCCGCCATAATCCTAAGCGGAAAAAAATAAAAATAAATTACGTGGTTGTAGTTGACGGTCCTGTCACTCCCGTGTGCCTGGCTGATAATGTTACGTTTGTATGTATGTTGAACTTCTTTTGCACCGTACGTAGCCAACCGTGCTAAACAAACTAACACATAAAAGCAGTTCTAAAGAAATTAGTTTTCAATCTGCTTATGCTCGTTGGATAGCAGTCTTGGTCATTTAGAGGATATCCTTTTATTTATATTTACACGCCACTAAAAGTTGCGTAGAGAATATCCATGTTTTTGGTCTTTATTTCTATAGTTCTTATTGACTCGGACATAGTGTACATTTTGGAAACTGGGTAAATAAATGTGAACACATAATTTGATGCCTGATAAAGGCAGGAAGGAAGATATAGAAAATTTTACGAACAGCAGTTAATGTAAAAACCATTAACTGAATAATCATGATCTTGACTTAAAGTTTTCGTGACTGCAGGAATTCATATTCTTTGGGTCTTTCGGTAAAGCCACGTAAATGATTATTTTTCTATCTACGTGGCTTTACCTAAAGACCCAACGAATATGAATAATAATATTTTATCACAAACCCATTGTATAATCTATCTCCATTTGTTTTAAATATTTTTTTTTACTTAGAAATCACAACATGTAACAATTTGCACGGTGCTTATTTAAACACGCTTGGAAAATGTTGCATTTAAAAGCAGTTTTTAAGGTGTGTGTTATAGTATTTGAAAGTTTGCTGCGTGTACCGGCCAGTCTGCACAGTTTCTCCTTGACGCGAGTGTGTCGTTGACGACATGGCAACTGGTCGGCATCTCATCTGGTTAGTGTACTAATGTAGGCTGTTGTCAGTTTTTGCTCCGTGCTCTTGGAAGGGGGCTCCAGCTCGCATATTCTTTGATAAATAAATGACTTGTGATGTGATCTCTGTGTGACTTTCATGCCGCATGTGCTCGCTATGGATCTGTGACCAAGGTTTGTGGCGCAGAGAGAAAAATGGCTTCATAATGATACTTTTGGCATGACCACTTTTTGCCTGCGTGATTAATCATTTAGAGGCAGGGACATACGAAAGTTGTATTGATTCTTATCGAGACGAGGGTCCCATATGCTGCAGTAGTTAGGTCATGCTTTATTCATTTTATAAATGCATATTTTATTATTTTATGTAACTGCTGTTACTTGATATGTGTATGGGATTTTCCAAAAAAACAAACATACCTTTTTAGAGTTTTCATATAACAAAATAGACGGAAGTATATTTCGTCATGACTATTACGTCTTTTGTTTTTCAAGTTTTTTTTATTCCTGGAATTTTGCGTTCTCAGTTTTGCTCTACAATTCGTGGTCGTTCCCATCCCGAGTCATCTCCGTGTCCACTTCACGGTTAAGTTTCACCCCAAAAGTAATTCCGAAAACGTACTTTTTTTTAAAACTTCCACGTGAAATTGTGCTCATTACATATAAATATCACTCCGCGAAGTGAGAATAGACATTTAACGTGCGCGCGGGTCACGCTAATTGGCGTGCCTTTTCATGCAAAGACCGGGACATCAAACGGCGTGGACTTTAAGCCCCCCAGAAATCGCTCTGTCGTCACTGGGGCTCCAGAAAGCATCCCACTTGCCACGCAGACTCCTAATTAACGAGAACCCGGGGGGGGGGGGGGTAGCACGAAGGGCCCAGCGTTAACGGGAGGCGTGGCGCCTCCACTCTGCTGCCCTTCGTTGCGGTAATTGGGCACGGTCCGAGTTGGCAGCCACAATCTTTCCCGTTCCCCCCCTACTCCAACCCATCCACCCTCCCTCCCTCCCCGCTTAATCCGCTAATGGCAGGATCCGCTGACGCCCCACCAGGACTCTGGGACCATTACATAATTCCCCATCGGTAAACACGGCATTACAGGCAGCAGCGGCCGCCGCCACTGCCCCCCCACCACCACCATCCCCGGCGTGTCCGGAGGGTGTGAGCGCGAGACCGCAAAGCGGCAGGGATGCCGAGGAGGGGCGGGGTAGCCGAGGGGGGGGGGGGCCTCTGGGCGAAACCGCAGGAGCTAGCGGCTCCCAGACCTCGTCGTCGTCGCTGAGTCGGACTTCACAAGGCGGGGAAGAATTTGATGTGTGTTGGGTTTTTTTTTAGTTGTTGTTGCGGATGGTGCCCGGAAAAACGGCGCGAGTTGCAGTGGAAAAGCGACCTAATTGCCGTCGCAGATGTCTTGATAGATATTATTTCTGAGTTTCGTTATAAGCTATTTCACATAATTGTCGGATTTTAGTTAGAGACGCCGTTAGTAAGGAAGATAGTTGTTTACATGCTCTGGTTTCCATCGATATTTTCACAACCACAGTGGGGTTTTTATTCTCTCTCTCTTTGCGAAGTGTCTGTATGTGGTGTCCGATCTGCTTTATTTTCCTACAAATGTGTATTGCCTGGTGAGCACGCTACTTCAACAGCAGGAATAGCCGGATAGTTAATGCCCAGCTTATTATTTTTTCAAAACACTTACCAGATAGGGTTATTTTTATTGGAATAAAACATCGCCTTGTTAAAATAAGAATCTGATTTTGATTTTAAAAATGGTCTTCGTCATGCTAAGCTTAAGTTTAAGCTTATCTGTAATCTTTTGTCTATAAAATAATGTAATTGTATAATTGACATTTGGTTCTCTGAGCCCTTGCATCTACTGATAAACATATATATTACAAAATTACTAGACTATCTTTACAGCTTCAATTGAGTTTTTACTTACAAATATAAACATTTCTCCAACTCTCCCACTGATGCAGCACCAATAACAGACGATGGCTCTTTGTACAGTTTCTGAATGTCCTTGGGGTAGCTTTTGGTGTCCTGGATGTGGATCAAATGGGGAGAAATTGCCACGTGTAGTCTGCGCTTGTTCAATGGAGGAGGAAAAGAAATACTAAAATGTCTCCTGCTCGTGGCAAGCAGAACTCGACAATCTCAATTAGCTGCTAAACCGATTGCCATCGTGTACACGTTTTAGAATAGGGATTTTTAATGGGGGCCCATAAAACACATGTTCAGATTGAAATAGGAAAATTCAAGTTACCATAACGCTGTCATGTGCAGTATTGTGAATAATTGTATGTTCACAATAATGCACAGAAGTGGAGGTTATCTCTCTTACATGCACATTTACTAAAGGCCATCAGAGGGCAGCATTGCTCCTAGGAAAACGGCCGATGGGCATATTTTATTTGAAAGAGACGCTTTCCTTTGTCTAGTGTAATAGTTTCCTTTCATTGTAAGAGATAACAGATATTTGAATCAATAACTGTGGAAGACATCCTTCATGGGAAATGTTTTTCATTTACTCAGTCTAGTATGCTTTTACAAGAACCTCATTGGTTCTTAACATCCAACAGGCTTAAACGTTATTGTATATAAATGTTCCCTGTAGACGAAAGCTAATGTTACCATTGTATCATAATAATCCATAATGTGCCATTCAAACACTTGAATATGTGCATATTATATAAACCACTAATGTAATATATACAAGGAAATGTATCAAATGTAAAACAACTGCATTTTATATTCTTGGTTCTTTCGGTAAAGTCACGTAGAAGGGAAATAATATAAATATTAAACAACTACATTTTATGTAAAGGAAATTCATGCAAATTAAAGAACGGTGATGGAGAATATCTATGGTACCAATTGTAAAACAAAAAGAGATTTGTTTTTCAGACAAGCTTAGAGGTTAGAATGCTAACGATCAGGCACCGTTGAGATCGTGGGTTCGAATCTCGGCAGCTGCCTGTGATGAAACTGGGTTCTCAAATAGAGAGTTGATGGTTTCAGTGCGGTCGTCAATGAATGCACAGCAGAGGTCGCAACAGGGTACCCGAGACCGTGAGTCACTGGTGAGTAACTGTTTGTCACTCATTTCCCAACGTCTTGTCTCTTCTTACAATTCAAGTTCCTAGAATCAACCCACCCGCGCCTGCAACATGGCTTCATCCCAGAGGTCGCAATCAGGTACCCGATACCCGTACCCTACCCGATACCCGGCCGGGTACGGGTAGGGTACGGGTACGCCCGGGTACGGGTACCCGTTTGCGACCCTGGTGCGGCCGGGTACGGGTAAGGAATCAAAACCCGTTTGCGACCTCTGATGCACAGGAACGTACTCATCACGTTAAGTTTGCTTCTGCACTTCAGTTTGGCTTCATTTCAGCTCTGAGAATTAAAACTATTACTTCGACTGTCATGCGACTTTCACTGTCAGAGAGAAAGTGCCATCCCCTGCTGTGTAGACCAGAGGTCACTTGAAGGGATCTCAAATGTAGCTCTATGATATCTACTTCCGCACCTCCGATTATCACGGTTGGCTACGTCCGGTGCGAAAGAAGTTCAACGTACATACATTACGTAGGTTATTCTCTCACACATAGCTAGGGTTGCACTGCTCTGGGGGAGATCCGAACCAATGCATAATTCGTGATGTGTCACCAATTGGGATAACATTTGGAGAAACGATTTTAAAAACGAAAGAAAAAAACACATCTATTGCCTAAGAATTTGCTTTTAATCCTTCACGAGTAAATGTGTTTCAGTTTAATTTCAAGGGGTAGCCAAGACATGTACAGATGGAACGCATTACAATGCAGCTTCTTCACATCTCATACGCTAGAATTACTGCTGATGGTAATACCAGTCATTTTTATCTTACAAAAAAAAAGAGATTTAGAAAGGTCTCTTTACCCAAAGCCGTATAATCGCATCAATTGTCTCCCATTGCCACCGCACGTATCGCGCGTGCCATTAATTATACATCGCGCTTAATTGCCCTCATTCTTCCGCTCGGAGTCGTACAAGTGACACGGCGGCCGTCTCGCCGTCACCGCGTGGATTGTGTGCCGCGGTTTCCTGCCGACGAATCAATGTCAGGGCCAGCTGCCCCGGCGCTCGCTGGGGGAGAAGACGCCGAAAAGCCTACGACAAGCAACACAACACACGCCGTGATCATTGTCCCCCAACCCCCACCGCCACCGCTCTAAATCGGCAGAATTCCGTCCTGCGTCTCGAACGTTTGGAAAGCCAAGTTGGCCTCGTGGCTTCCTGAGACCAATGCTGTCCAGCGGGGAAGCGCCGTGTTCGGAGCTCCGTCAACATTCTAACCCCTTGCAGCTTCTCCTCTGAGCTCACTATGAAATAAGGCTCGGATGCCTTGGATGCCCTGGGATTTGTCGGTGGATGCGCCGTAGTCCCTCGTGGATGCCCTCGGACTAGCTGGTGCTGCCCCTGGCTGCCCTGGCTGCCCCCTGAGGCTCGTCGTCGTCGTTATTTTGTCCCGGGCTGTACCGCAAATATTGCCACTCTCTCCTCGATGCCGCGTTTCCCCCTGCACAGACTCCTCACCCAAAGTCTGATGTAGTTTTAAATTGTGTAAAGCCCCTTGAGATTCGAGCGCATTCAGACTCCACGTGGATTGAGACTGTTGTTGTAGTTGTTGGATTCGCATGCCTCTCTAGAAAGCTATGGGGGTGGGGGCGGGGGGGACGGCATGCTTGGATGGCCTTACTTTAGCCACAAATATCCGCACTGCGCCTTGGCATTAGTAAACGCACCGGGAGAAGGCAATGTGGTTTCGACATTACGGCTGCAAACCCAACAGTGCTACCGGACATTGCCGCGCACGACTTACCGCACTGGCTGCCGTGCGGGCTCCTGTAAAGCATCAGCCACTGCTCTACCCACTGCTCTACCCACTGCTGTACCCACTGATCTACCCACTGCTCTACCCACTGCTGTACCCACTGGTCTACCCACTGCTGTACCCACTGGTCTACCCACTGCTGTACCCACTGGTCTACCCACGATCTACCCACTGCTCTACCCACTGCTGTACCCACTGGTCTACCCACTACTGTACCCACTGGTCTACCCACTGCTGT